TTTGTATACATTCTTACGAACGAGAATCATTACAAAGTTTTCCTAAACAATGGCCTCTTTACAAAATACTTTTAAAAACCACACAAAGCACAAATTCAAACAAAAGCAAGTGATCTAGCAAGTAACTAAGAGCCCATGGAAAACCATGGATGAAAAGGATGCTAATACCTTCCCTTTTCATAATCTACCCCCCAAACTCAAGAAATAATCTCAAAAGTCTTTCCTATGCTTTTTCACCTTTCCTTTTGGATAAAAGAAAAGTCGGTGGCGACTCTTGCTAAACGCAACATTTGCAATCAAACGTAAAACCTTCAAGTCAGTTCTCCCACCGTATCACACTCCCCCATGCACGAGCGTCATCATCGTTCCCTCCATTCTAGTTCTGCTGACCCTGTTGGTTCTATTGTGACATAGCCACATATTCCAAAGCATGAGCAATAGCATTATCATTTCTTCCTCCATCCATAACTATGTGCATGGATAACCAACATTAGAAACTTCAACATATCGACAATATCCAAGTACTAATCGATCAATCAAGAGGTAGACATCATATAAAACCTGGTTGGACGGACCTACCTGCTCTGATATCACTAGTGTAACACCCTTCTAAATCCCAAGGAATATTTAATTAAATAAATCATAGTATTTTACCAAAAGGGCGTCACATCCTGCATAATCAACATACATGCATGCCTTACTCTGTAACGCAGGTTTTCAAAGTCATTAATTACATATGCTTCCACTACGCCAAACAAGACTTTAGACAACGCTTTTTGGATTTAGACAGCGTTTTAAAGCGTTGTCTATTCCAGCACAGCTGTAGGTAAAGACAACACTTTGTTAAAAGTAAAAACGCTTCTAAATCCCCCCTTTAGGCAACCCTTTTACTTTGAAAGTGCTGCTAAAGACCCCCTTTAGCCAGCGCTTTACTTTTAAAACGCCGCTAAAGGACCCCTTTAGTCAGCACTTTCTTTAAAGCGCTGCTAAAGGCCCCATTTAGCCAGCACTTTTTCTGAAACAAAAAAATTTAAGAAAAGCCCCTTTAGGCAGCGCTTTTAATGTTAAAGAGTTGTCTAAAGTCCCCTTTAGGCAACGCTTTTTCTGAAACAATTTTTTTTTTAAAAAAAAAGCCCCTTTAGGCAGCGCTTTTAATTTTAAAGCGATGTCTAAAGCCCCTTTTAGACAGCGCTTTTTCTGAAATAATTTTTTTATAAAAAAAGAGCCCCTTTAGGCAGCGCTTTTACAGTAAAAGCGCTGTCTAAAGGGGTGCTTTAGACAACGTTTTTTAAAGCGCTGTCTAATGTCAACGAAATTTTTTATATAACCTTTTTGAAAAAAAAAACGTTCTTTGATATATACAATTTTATATGCAGAGACTTTAACCATATTTGCACCAGGTTTTCACCATATTTTGCACCTATATATACCATTACAAATTTCACCAGATTTTCACTAATATTGGAGCTTCAATCCAATAAAAATAATACCAAAAGATACTATACATTTGCACCAATGTACTTATATATACTATTACTCTTGTACATATATACTTTTACTAAAAAACAACACCATTATATATCATTATAAAATCTATTCATCTCTATCTTCTACATATGCACATATAACCTGAAGCAACACTAAAATATTGTAATTCATACCATGATACAAACAAAATATATATAATTTACCACATGACAAACAACAACAAAATTACAACACTTGAATATACTCAAAATTCTCATCAATTAAAGAAAGATTACAATATACCTTATATAACTTTCGTCTCAATAATGTATTGACACCAATCCTCCTTAAGTTCATCCAACTGAGAACTTGAGTAATAAGCACACTTGAATTCATCAAAGTACTACATAATAATAAAATATAGTATGTTTAATTTAAAACTATTTAATTATATGAGAAATATGTGTTAAATATTAAAATAACTCCTAAGTTAGAAATCCATACCTTAGATGGAATCTCTATTCGATCCAAAAGAAGAATTTCTCTCATAAACCTCAACATGTAAAAACCGCAATCTACTTCATTACACTGCCGAGGACACTACACATAAAAAGAAAATATGGATAAGGCCTAAGTTTTATCAAGTATCATCACTAATAATATAATCAAAATTCTGATAATTAATTAATATACCTCCACTATAATCCAGGTAATGTTGTTGGCTTTACTCTTTGGTACTTGAACACCTCTTTGTGCTCGAAAAACTTGTATAATTCTAATAAAACATAAACGCATATTTAGAACAATTCTCATAAATAAATAAATATACACACGAATATTTAGAACAATCACACTTACGTATCAACCATATTCTTCATATTTTGGCATGTACTTGGATCATTGCATAGAGAATGCAGATAATATACAACTTCTCTGATAGGATTAATCGCGACCAATAACCAATGTCCATTGTAAGATTAAACAAATGTGAGATGAAAATTTTCTACACAACGTCAAAATATGGAAAATTATAATAGATGAATTTAGAATGAAAATCTAACCCATTGCCGGTATTAAGCGGTAAAAAGAACAACTTTTTGATATCTTTGTCGAGCATAAAGCGCTCGAGTACATACGCCATGACTTCATCTGGTTTATGAATCATTAACCCTACGTTGGTACTGAAAGGAGATAAGAAAGCGAATCTTTGCTCAATTCCACTCGGGCGCATCAATTTTTCATACAAAAACCTTAAATAAAAGACCTCATTAACATTTGAAATGAGTAAATGAATTGATCAATTAATAAGACAAAGTAGATCGGATATACCTTATGTATGTATTAACAACACTGAGGCCTAATTGCATATGTTGTAAAACTTGATCAAAATCCTCCATACCAATTGTTTCGGAATATTCAAAACTAAAAATACCAAACTCCATAGGTAGAAGACGAGTATTTCCTTCCGGAATATCAGACATTTCTAAAAATGTCCTAAGGTACGACCTAAACTTGGAAGTAGGTTTTTTTTAGCCGCGGTCTTCTTAGCAACAACCTTTTTTGTGTGGAAATGTTGCTAATTTCAGGATTCTTACCCCTACCGACATCTTTATTCTCTTTAGCATGAATCTAAAGATCATATAATTAGTTATGTGAATTATAAGATCACGAGTTAACATTTTTCATGCATAAATATCATATAATTGTGATGTACCTCTTTTATTGATTCCACTGACTCAGTTTGACGCGGAATCCCTTTGTCTTTTGCTTTGGATTTTTTTTGGAGTCTAATTAACATAACCATGTAAAAACAAATGTACGAAAAATGTGCGTAAAAACTTTGATTACTCAAAGGTTCATATATATGTTTTTAAGCATACCTCATCATCTACACTAATGAGGCTTGCTGGCCATGCAACAAACGAACCGATTGCATCTCCCACAAGTGTGGCATCCGAAACATCGTCAGGATGTGGTAATAATGCATCCCTCTCTGAAGCAATGTCAACTGATACTTTCAAACAGCCAGTAGGGAGCGGTTTAGTGTGAAGTAATTCTCCCAAAGTGTTATGCACTTTTCCCTTTCCAACCATCCGATAAGTCGGTGACGATAAGTAGAGTTGACAAGGTGAAATGCCCTAAAACCAATAATAAATTTCAAATTGTTATTATGTATATATTTCAATTAAATAAATTAAGCTACTTTAATTTCATAATGATATATATAATTACCTCTGGAAAATTCGGTTGAAAATTACAACTGATACTAACTTTGTCACTAGTAGCTTTAAAACCTGAAGCTTGCTCTCTTAATTCTTTTTCCCTTCTCAATTCATGGACTCCAGCTTGTAGTGTTTCCAAGGTTTTCTGCAGTTCTTTATTGCTAGGAGTCTTTTGTGTTTTCATCTTCAAGGATTTTGGAGTGATTCAAATCCCTTACCCCTCACCCGACCAGAATACTCACGAACATCTAATGCTCGACTAAGTATGCTCCTGCAATCATTGTCTTCATCTGAACATATAGACTGATATAGAGTCTCCTGAAATTCATATGAATATTTAAAATTTGTCTTAATTATATGTTACCAAACTTTTTATTTAATTAAAGAAATAATTCTATACTTACACATTTCTCAAAAACTTTTTGAACATCTTCTTTGACAACTTTATCCTTACCCACACAGGCTTCCTTCCACAAAACATGTGCCGGAAGAGATGTTTCAGAACTATTCTCCTTTGTTAACTACACATTAAGCCAAATAATATGATCAAATATAATTCATGATGAACAAGTATATCATTGCAATTTATAGATACTTACGATAGACTGTTCTAAATGTCCATATCCAATACGCCCTTTTTTTGTATGAATACGCGAGATTTGATGCTCTTTGCCGATTTGTTTCACTTACACTCTGAAATTCTTGGGTTTTTAGTTTGGCTTTAAACGTTTCCCACTATTTAGGTAAAACAAAACTTGCATATTTAGATGGAAGTTCCGCATAAACAAAAATTTTATCCACATCCCTAAAAAACTTGATATTTAAAAAAGTCTTAAACCCATATAAGGCTCGAGATATCAAATAAAGTTCACGGTATCTCATAAGAATCCCTAAATCACAAGAGATATACAGACAAATCCAACAGCACGGGGAAACTTATATGCGTCCGTACCATTTTCAAAAGTTAAGTTGAATTAAAATTTAAAATCGCAACACAATGAAAATAATATTTACATAACCTAAATTTATTTACAAGTGAATTGAATAAAATATAAAATCAAAAATATTATGTACAATTATGTATTTAAATTCTAAACATTAAATCAAAGTGATAAAATGAAATGATACAATAAAAAAAATACAAATGATAAAGTATAGCAATGTAAAATTCAAGTAGGGTGTCTAAAGTAAATGAAACAATAGACTTAGTGAAACTTCAACCCAAACAAACAACATTTTACAAAACTCATATATTATTAACAATTATAAACAAAATAACTATATAAACAAATAAATGATAATAATCATAAATCAAATTAAAATAAAATAAAAAGGAAAAGTGGAATACGATTGTTTGGCAGAGATTAGAGGGAGTTTGCTGTTTGTTTGTGGCTTGCGGTTTGCAGCGATTGGCGGAGGGGTATTATACTGTGTTGAAGAAGACGGGATGGTGGATGAAGGTTGGTAGCGGAATAGTGAGGTTTGATGGAGTTGCGGAGAGGTAGAGGGATGGATTAATGGGTGTGTTTTTTTTGTTGTGTGAAGAATTAAAGGGAGATAGAGGGAGTATACTATGCGTGGGTGTTTTTGTTGTGTGGGTGTTAGGAAGAGAGAAGAGGGAGTATTAGTTACTGTTGTTGATTGGGTGTTGTGTGTAAACAAAGAAGAAAATGAGCCCTTATATAAAATAAAAGAAGAGGAAATTAAATTCTGTTTCTTCAAATCCGCTAGCTATTTTTTTCTATCGATCTGTACCTCTTTCCAACAATTAATAAGAACAATGCATAGTTTTACAAAAAAAAAATTAATGCAATTTAAAATTTTTTATTTTATTTTTTCTGAATAAAAATTAGAGACCCAAAATAACATTAAAAAAAAGACAAAAATCTATCCTAAAAAATGAAATGAATACATTAAGATAAACTACTTGTCTCAAAGATTGAAGAAAAAATATTCAAATGGTCAAAATCGAAATAAAATGAGAGTAAAAATATCAGGTTGAACAAACGTTTACGGTTAAAAACGAGACTTCAAACTGTACCGAAAAATGAAGGGAGCATATTGTCATAATCTACACAAAATACATATTCATAAAATGATCAGTAAAAGGTGAAAACTTGAAATATTTTTCTCACTAATTTTCTGCACAGTGTCAAATGGCTTTTAACAATCTGTCTATAAATCATAAATATTAATATTATCGACATATAAACAACTTAGAGCAATGCAAGAAACGAGTAAAGAGATAAATATGCATGAAGTGAATTATTAGGTATTTTTCAACTACAAAACGATGCAAACTTCGATTTAAACTGACTTTTGGTCAACTTAAATACGACTGATGATGCAAAATGTGATGAATGAAGATATCTATTAATGATTCTGACCAAATAACAAAATATGATATAAAAGTGTGACTAAAAAATTAGGGGCGAAATTTAGGGTGCAACACATCTCATCCCTTGTTGTCGGAAGAAGTTGATTGAATTGATCTGTACCGTTTAAACGAGACGTTAGTAATAAAACTTGTTGTAAGTAGATGATCCAACGGGACATAGTCGTACACTTTAATCCCTAATTTTTGCCTGGACCGCCATTTTAGTTTTTTAGTCCACCGGGATACCCTTTTTTGCCCAAGCTGCCTTTTCCGGTTTTCGACTTGTCGAGTGTACAATCTTTATATATATCCCTAATTTTTTCTCGAACCCTTTTGGTTCGCCAGGATGCCTTTATTTTTTCTTAGGCCAGTGGACCTAGAGGGTCACATTCATGCATAGTATTTTTTGACTATGTCCGCGTTCACAGGGTGCGGAAAATTTTCGCCGTCCATGGTGGTAAGTATCATAGCGCCGCCAGAAAATATCTTCTTGATCATAAATGGCTCTTTGTAGGTGGGAGTCAATTTTCCCCTGGGATCACCTTGCGGTAGGATGATGCGCTTTATTTCCAAATCACCAGCTTGATATACCTGATGCTTGACTTTCTTGTTGAAGGCTTTGATCATATGCTTCTGATACATCTAACCATGACAAACAACCGCAAGCCTCTTTTCGTCAATCAAATTCAACTTGTCTAACCTAGTCTGAATTCGCTCGTCTTCGTTTAAACCTGCATCTTTCATAATCCTTAAAGAAGGAATCTTGACTTCGACAGGCAAAAATGCTTCCATACCGTAGACTAGAGAGAATGGGGTTTCCCCAATTAATGTTCGTAATGAAGTGCGATAGACGTGTAGAGCAAATGGTAACATATCATGACAATATTTATATGTTACCGTCATCTTCTATATAATTTTAATGTTCTTATTGGCGGCTTCCACTGTGCCATTCATCTTTGGTCAATACAGAGAAGAATTGTGGTTCTTGATCTTGAATTGCGTGCAGAGTTCTGTGATGATACTATTGTTGAGAATGGTACCATTGTCTGTGATAATCCTTTCGGGGATTCCATACCGACAAATAAGATTATGCTTAATGAATCGGGCAATAGCATTCTTGGTGACGGAGGAAAATGAGGCGGCTTCAACCCACTTCGTGAAGTAATCAATGGCGACAAGGATGAAACATTGTCCATTATAAGAAGTAGGTTTAATATCTCCAACCATGTCAATGCCCTACATTGCAATTGGCCAAGGAGCAGCCAAGACATTCAGAGGAACCGGTGGCACATGTACTTTGTTAGCATAGATATGGAATTTGTGACGATTTCTTGAGTGATGATGGCAATCAGTCTCCCTGGTCGACCAGTAATAACCCGCTCTCAGAGTTTTCTTAGCCATCGTATGCCCACTGGGATGAGTTCCAAAGATACCTTCGTGCATATCTTCCATAATTTTCTCGGCTTTCTTCTTGCCCACACAACGGAGCAAAGTTGAATCATGATTGCGTTTGTACAAAATTCCATAGCTCAAGAAGAACTTAGCGGAGAACCTCCGAAAGAACTTCTTGTCATTGATAAATGCCCTCTCTGGGTACTCTTTAGCCTTGAGGTATCTCTTTACTTCATGAAACCAATGCTTCTCTTCTACTTTGTCGGTGTCAAATTCATAACAATGTTCCAGTTCATCTATTCTTTCGATAGTAATTTGAGGATCTGCGTTGTCCCATTTAACTTTGAACATAGACGACATAGTAGCTAATGCATCGGACAACTGGTTCTCTTCTCGTGGGATTTGCTCAAAAGTGATTTCCTTGAAGTACAAAATCAAGGTCAACACATGTTCTCAGTAAGGAATGATATTCTGGTGCTTCATATCCTATTCTCCCTTAATCTGATTGATTACCAGGGCTGAGTCCCCATATACATTCAAGAACTTGAGTCTTAGGTCAATAGCAGCTATGATGCCCATGATGCATGCTTCGTATTCTTCCATGTTGTTGGTACAGTAAAAAGATAATATAGCGGTGAAGGGCGTATGGTAACCCTGGGGAGAGATAATCAAAGCCCCGATTCCGTTACCAAGCGCGTTGGAAGCTCCATCAAAAACCATAGTCAATCGGGATCCTGGCTCAGGTCCTTCATACGGTACAGGTTCTTCACAATCTATAAATAGCATAATGTTCTCATCTGGGAACTCAAAATTCATAGATTGATATTCGTCTATGGCTTAATGTGCCAAATGGTCTGCTAGTACACTTCCTTTATTATCCTTCTGAGTGGTATACTGAATGTCGTATTCTGTTAAGACCATTTTCCATTGGGCTATCCTTCCGGAGAAGGCTGGTTTCTCGAATATATATTTGATGGGATCCATTTTAGAGATCAACAAAGTAGTATGGGTAAACATATATTGTCTTAGTCGGCAAGCAGCCCATGCCAAAACGCAACAAGTTTTCTCTAACAATAATTATCTTGTTTCACAGTAAGTAAACTTTTTGCTAAGGTAGTATATTGAGTTCTCTAACACTGTGAGGTACATGATCAGAGGTCTTCCTTTAACTGGTAGCATCCAAATCGGAGGTTCTTGGAGGTACTACTTGGTTTTTTCAAAGGCTATCTGGCAATCGTTGTTCCACTTCACTACCTGATATTTCTTCAATAGCTTGAAGATTGGCTCACAAGTAGCGGCCAGATGGGAAATAAATCTGGAAATATAATTCAGTCGACCTAAGAAACCTCTGACTTGCTTCTAAGTACGGGGAACTGGAATTTTTTAATTGCTTTGACCTTGGCAGGATCAACTTCAATACCTTTACTATTGACAACGAAACCCATGAGCTTAACGGATCTCACCCAAAAAGTGTACTTGTTCGGATTCAACCTCAGTTTGTACTTCTTCAGTCTTTCAAACAGCTTGTGTAGATGGTCTAAATGTTCTTCTTCATTCTGAGATCTGGCTATCTTGTCGTCGATGTAGACCTTTATCTCGTGATGGATCATGTCATGGAATAAAGCTACCATGGCACGCTGATATGTTGCGCAGGTGTTCTTCAACCCAAAAGGCATAACCTTGTACCAGAAAGTTCCCCACTGTGTAACAAAAGTTTCCTTCTCTGTCTCTTTGGGCACCGTCTTGATCTGATTGTACCCTGAGAAGCCATCCATGAAGGAGAATACTTTGTGCTGAGCAGATGGACCAGAACATCAATATATGGAAGCAAAAAGTCATCCTTGTGGCTCGCCCTGTTTAGATCCCTGTAGTCTACACACATGCGCACCTTGCCATCCTTTTTAGGTACTGGCACAACATTTGCAACCCACTGAGGATATGATGTAACAGTTAAGAACCCTATGTTGAATTTTTCATAACCTCAGCCTTGATCTTTTCTAACATCTCGGGACACATGCAATGAACCTTCTACTTTATCGGAGAAAAACCCTCTTTCATTGATAGACGGTGAACCAAAATATCAGTATCTAGCCCTAGCATGTGTTTGTATAACCAAGCAAAGATCTCAACGTAATCATGAAACATCTGGATTAACCTGTTCTTGATACTGCTTTCTAGTTTGGCACCTATCTTGACTTCTTTTCTGTCTTCTTCTGTACCCAAGTTTAAAACCTTGACTGGCTCTTCATGTGGTTGTATAGTTTATTCCTCTTGCACTAGCAGTCTGGTAAGTTCTCTAGGTATTTCACAATCTTCCTCACCTTCATCCTCGGCTTGGTAGATCGGGTTTTCTAAGTCATAAGTGGCAATAGAATAATTGTCGTCAACGGGATCCAGAGTGGATGTGGATCTACAATTTATTGTATGGGTGTGTGTAAGGATACATAGCTATTTTGAAAGTGATAAAAATAAAAGAAAGACAAAGAGCGTAAAATTTGAATGCAAAACATCCAATGCTTTATTAAATGAATATATGTTTATGAAATGACAATCCTTAACAAATGGACCATTGTGCCCCGGGTAAGGCACAAGGCTTAAATTTATTGTTTAAAAGTTACATAGCCAAAACTTTGAAAGCAATAAAATAGAAAGTAGCTACTACTCCTGACTAAAGTAGATTAAGATAATGTCTTCGATCTTCTAGTTGTTGAGCCCATTGTCGATGGTAGGAAAGACCCAGCTGTCGGGGTTATAGTCACTATCAGCGTCTTCTATAGTGTTGACTCCATTGTTGCTGAGACGGAATGGTGGTCTTCCAGCATGAGCATTAAGATAAACCCTTTGAGCCTTTACAGTAAAA